TTTTTGTTTTTGCTTTTTTGTTTCATCCACCCTTTTCTTGTTTCATTTTCCTGTTTTTGTTTTTGCTTTTTTGTTTCATCTACCCTTTTCTTGGCTGGTGTAAGCAAACCCCAGGCAGTAAGCACTTTAGCGTTTTGAATAGAAAATAGAATATCTCGGGAAGTCAAACTCACTGTGCCAAAGGGAAGAGTTACGCTTGGGAACTGAGTCATGCAAAAGCTGCCTTCCTTTTCTTCCCAAACAGATAGCTGTAGTTTGCATAATGTACTTTTCCTCCTCTCCCCTCTTTTCACATGTAGATTCACTGAGTGCTAATCAAAGCCTCACAAGAATGTAACTACTGGCCTCATTGCCTACCCACCCTTTCTTTTCTTTCTTCTTTCCTGTCCTGCCTGCTGCCTGCTCTGTCCGCTTTAAGTATTGACATACTCAAAATCGTCTTTGGAAAAAGCACAGGCCACAGATCCTACTGTGACTTGTGTTTCTTTCTCCTAGGTGTACTTTCAACCTTGGTAAAATAAACCTCTAAATCAATTGAGATCGCCGCCATCACTTTTCTTTTTTTTAAAAAAAACTCAGAGTCTCACTCTGTTGCCCAGGCTGGAGTGCAGTAGTGTGATCTTGGCTCACTGCACCCTCTGCCTCCTGGGTTCAAGTGGTTCTCATGCCTCAGCTTCCCGAGTAGCTGGGATTACAGGGGTGCGCCACCACATCTGGCTAATTTTTGTATTTTTAGTAGAGACAGGGTTTCACCATGTTGCCCAGGCTGGTCTCGAACCTCTGACCTCAGGTGATCCACCTGCCTCAGCCTCTCAAAGTACTGGGATTATAGGCATGAGCCACGGCACCTGGCCCACCATCAGTTTTTGATTTACAACATGTATCTCTAATTTTAAAGGATCCTTTTTTAAAATATGTATATAATTTCCATTTATCTTTTAAAATTTAATAATCATTCCTTGTTATCATCTAATACCTCATTTATACTTAAATTTACTCAATCGACCTATGTTTTAAAAAAATTCAATAGAAGAGATAGAACCTCATAGAATAGAAAATATCAGAGTGCATTTCCTATAGTCATGGTAAGTGTTGGTTTTGAAATAATTTCTATTATATATGTATCACTGCATATTCTGTAGCCATGAGGTAAAAGATGTTTCTTTGTACTGTGGTCAAAAAAAGTCGGCCTCTGTGATGCCCAAGTGACCTCCATCTTCTTCTTTAGGTTTTCTTGAGCAAGGCTTAATGGTCAGTGATACCAACAGGCTGTGGCAGCATTACAAGACGACCAAGCAATTCAAGCTGGATGTGTTATCCCTGGTCCCCACCGACCTGGCTTACTTAAAGGTGGGCATGAACTACCCAGAACTGAGGTTCAACCGCCTACTGAAGTTTTCCCGGCTCTTTGAATTCTTTGACCGCACAGAGACGAGGACCAACTACCCCAATATATTCAGGATTGGGAACTTGGTCTTGTACATTCTCGTCATCATCCACTGGAATGCCTGCATCTACTTTGCTATTTCCAAGTTCATTGGTTTTGGGACAGACTCCTGGGTCTACCCAAACATCTCAATCCCAGAGCATGGGCGCCTCTCCAGGAAGTACATTTACAGCCTCTACTGGTCCACCTTGACCCTTACCACCATCGGTGAGACCCCACCCCCTGTGAAAGACGAGGAGTATCTCTTTGTGGTCATAGACTTCTTGGTGGGTGTTCTGATTTTTGCCACCATTGTGGGCAATGTGGGCTCCATGATCTCGAATATGAACGCCTCGCGGGCAGAGTTCCAGGCCAAGATCGACTCCATCAAGCAGTACATGCAGTTCCGCAAGGTGACCAAGGACTTGGAGACGCGGGTTATCCGGTGGTTTGACTACCTGTGGGCCAACAAGAAGACGGTGGATGAGAAGGAGGTGCTCAAGAGCCTCCCAGACAAGCTGAAGGCCGAGATCGCCATCAATGTGCACCTGGACACGCTGAAGAAGGTTCGCATCTTCCAGGACTGTGAAGCAGGGCTGCTGGTGGAGCTGGTGCTAAAGCTGCGGCCCACTGTGTTCAGCCCTGGGGATTATATCTGCAAGAAAGGAGACATTGGGAAAGAGATGTACATCATCAATGAGGGCAAGCTGGCCGTGGTGGCCGATGATGGGGTCACCCAGTTCGTGGTCCTCAGCGATGGCAGCTACTTCGGGGAGATCAGCATCCTGAACATCAAGGGGAGCAAATCGGGGAACCGCAGGACGGCCAACATCCGCAGCATCGGCTACTCAGACCTGTTTTGCCTCTCCAAGGACGATCTCATGGAGGCCCTCACCGAGTACCCCGAAGCCAAGAAGGCTCTGGAGGAGAAAGGACGGCAGATCCTGATGAAGGACAACCTGATTGATGAGGAGCTGGCCAGGGCGGGGGCGGACCCCAAGGACCTTGAGGAGAAGGTGGAGCAGCTGGGGTCCTCCCTGGACAACCTGCAGACCAGGTTTGCACGCCTCCTGGCTGAGTACAACGCCACCCAGATGAAGATGAAGCAGCGTCTCAGCCAACTGGAGAGCCAGGTGAAGGGTGGTGGGGACAACCCCCTGGCTGATGGGGAAGTTCCCGGGGATGCTACAAAAACAGAGGACAAACAAGAGTGAAAATGCAGCCTCTGTCTCCTGCTTCACGGGGTCAACTGTCAGGGTGACGCTATGTGGCCGCAGCTGTGTGGCATGGAACTTGGTCAGGGTTTAATTCCAGCTCTATTCACCCTTTAAAAGCTGTGTGACTGCCCGAGAGAGCCTGTTTCTTCACCTAGAAAACAGGACATTTGTCTCAGTCCCAGTGAAGTGCCAGGTTTGACTGTGAGGTCCGCATGAAACACTGCACCAGGCAGGGCTTTGCAAAGTGCAAAGTATCCCCGGTCCCAGTATATGGAAGTGTGCACACAGGACTCTCACTACATTTTTATGGAATCTGCAAGGCGTTTTTAGGCTTTTTAATCTAATTTTCTTATAAATGAAAGATTATTTAGTCACCTTTCTCCTCCCCAACTTCACTCCACCACCACCTGATAATGGGTATATAACAGAAAGCTGAAGGTACAACGTAGTGACTCAAATTCAGACTTACACAAGACAGTTTGAGGCATATTTCTGACTCTGGTATCACCTCATGTGCTCTTGGGGGCCCTGGAAACCCTGGCCTTTGGGAGTGCTATGGCAAGTAGAAGTTCTGTAGGATGGAAAGAGGCTGCCCCATTTGAGGTCACTTCCAATCTGTGAAGCAAATCCAGACTCCTTGCCATCCAGCCACGGTGAAACCAGCGTCTGTTTTACAGAAAAGAGCATCTCAGGAGAAGAGACATCCCCTCCTTCTCACTTGCCAAAGAGATTCAAAGACAGCGCCTATCCTCCATTCTTGAGTCAAGGCCCTGGGTGACCTATTCTAACTCAAGGAGGAGAGCAACGTACAGGGAGAGCCTTTTAGATTGAAGGCTGGAGTAGTGTCCTAAACCAAAACCGACAACTAAGAGTTTTAGAAGATGAGACCATTAGGCATGTATCTTTGCAAACTGCCCCTTCACCCACGAAGAGGAAGCCTCAAGATCCCTTGGAATTGCATCCCGGGGCAAAGCTTTTGGCTCACCAAAAGCTCGCAGATTGCAGAAATTAGCTTTTTTTAAAAAAACAAACCCCAGTAAATATAATTATCATTAACATTTTATAACAGATTTATATTTTTGAGTTCTGTGATTGCAAATTATGACCTCAATATTCCATCCTTATGTAATATGTTGCAAATTACCCAAAGATGAGTCTTCTTTCTTTCCTTTTTTTTTCTTCTTACTTCTTTCTTCCTCTTTCTCTCTCCTCTTTTCCTCCTCAAAATGTATATATTTTAAAAGCCTTAACTATTAGTTATGCCTGCATTCATATTTGCACAGGCAAAATAAAGACCTGGATTTAAAAATAGGAATGACTCTTGCTTCAGCTCTTGCCATAAGGGAAGTTTCAGTCGCAGAGTATGTTTCTAGGGCAATGGCTTCCGTAGAAAGAATAGGTGCTGATGTGGGAGAGGGCACACATTCCAAGAAAGTGACAATGCCAAGTGCTATTAAGGACACAAATCAACAAGAACTCTCATTCATTGCTGGTGGGCATGGAGTATGGTGTAGCCGCTTCGGAAGACAATTTGGTAGTTTTTATAGAGTTAGGCATACGCTTTAGCGTATGAACCAGCAATCACACTCCTAGGTATTTACCTAAAAGAATTTGAAACTCATATGCACATAAAAACATGTCTATAAATGTTGGTAGCAGCTTTAATCATTATTAACAGAAATCTGGAAGTAGTAATAATATCATTCAATAGGTGAATCGATAGATAAACAGCCAGGTGAGGTGGTGTATGCCTATAATCCCAGCTACTAAGGAGGCTGAGAAGGGAGAATCATTTGAGTCCAAGCGTTTGAGGACAGCCTAGGCAACATAGCAAGACCCTGTCTCTAAAAAAAAGAAAAGAAATAAAGAAAAAAGTAAAACAGTGGTATACCTGTACAATCACCATATAGTCAAATCCTACTCAGGAATGAAAATGAATGAGCAATTGATAAAGGGAAAAAGATTCCATTTGTATGACATTCTGGAAAAGGCAAACAATAATGATGGAAAACAGCTCAGCGGTTGCCAAGGGTTGTCAGGAGGTGTGGAGGCTGATTGCAAAGATCACAGTGGGGAATTTTTAGTTGTGATGGAAACTGTTTTGCATGGTGTGCGGTGGTGGGTATATGACTGTGCGTTGTCCACTCTCATAGAACGGTACACCACAAAAAATCAACTGTAATGTGTGGAATTTTTAAATATCAACCCGAATGTGAACAACACAAGGATGGAAAGCAGATTGTGACAAGTGAATCTAACTATATTAGAAATATATGACATAACTTTACTGAAGGACATAGGGTAAAATGATGACCTAAGTAATGTTAAAAATGGTGCTTTGAGTAGAAACTAAGGCTAAAGACGAAAAGATGTGACGTGAATACTGTACTCTAGTTGTAAATTTGTTTCACATGGGGATATGGGTTACTAATTCAGAATTACATTATACTATGGATGAATGCATGAATGACTGAATAAATAAATAAATGCTTTAAAAAATGGAAGCCAGATTTATTGTAGTCAGAAAAAGAAGTTACAAATAAGACCACACAAGATCAGAATGAACCCTGTGGTACTGGATTGGAATCAGACATTAGAACGAACTCATGTTTACTTATATATCCAGGTAGACAGATGCAGAAATGATTGTAGGGGTGTGTGTGTGTGTGTGTATGTATATATGTGTATATATGTTGGTATACATAGATATATTTCTAACTCTGTGTACCAAGAAGCCTTGGCAGTGATACCTATTACAGAGAGCTCACCAAGCACCCAGATCTTGGTTTCCAAATATCTTTCTCCAATGAAAGGAACCAGGGCTGATTCTAGGGCTGAGGCAGGGAAAACATACCATGAGCCTGGAGTATCTTGTAGTGCCAGAAAGTACTCAAAAAACACAATGTTGGGGGGTAAGTGGCAATAGGGCTTTCTACACACACACACACCCCCCCACACACAAACAATGATGGAGGTAAATCAAAGGGACACATCAACCAACCTGAAAGAGTTCCCAATGGCCAAAACTGAAGCCATCTGAAAAACAAAACTTAAAAATTTAGTATTAGACTATATCCCAAAGTATAAAAGTATATGAGTCTATGCCACAAATAAACGATTGAATAAATAAATAAATAAGGGAGAAAGGACACGTGTTTTTTACAGAAGAATTCCAGATAACATATGTAGATTATTCGATACGTTCCACCCCAGGATGCAAAGCCTTGTTTGCGGATCTTGCACTCAGAACTGGAACCAAGGATCCGGCAGCCTCTACATTGCCTTGGGGGAACACAATGTCAATATCAACTGATCATGTGGGTGGGGTTACAGTAAGGATGTTAAGGTGGGAAAGTTATCCTAGATTTTCCAACAGGGCCTAATATAATCATGAGGATTCTGATAAGTGGGAGGCAGGAAGATCAGAGAGAGGAAGGCAATGTAACAATGAAAGAATATGTATTATTCTTACGGTAGCAACTTCATTAAGATTTTTGCGATTCCGGAAAAATGGTGGTGGTGGCAGTGTCGTTTTTTGGGCTAAGTCTTCACATAAAAACACAGCAAATAAGATAGTAAATCTAAAGATCCACAGACAACATCTGACATCCCCGAGGATATGAAAACACCCAAATCACCAACAGGTGCTCACCAAAAAGCATGGACAGCCTGTCTGAGAACAGGTGGAATTAAGGGAGATTCTGCAGAAATCAATTTGTGGGTGGCAGCAAATTGACAATGATGCTACAAGACTGATGTGCAGGGACAGTCTGGGTGCTACACACTCTAGATGTTCACAGAATAAAGCTTCCTTCTTTATTTGAGAAACATCTGTTCAGATCCTTTGCCCACTTTTACATTGGGTTGTTTGCTTGCTATTGAGTTGTTTGAGTTCCTTATATATTTTAGATATTAACCCTTATCAATATATGGTTTGCAAATATTTTATCCCATTCTGTAGGTTGTCTCTTCACTCTGTTGATTGTTTCCTTGGCCGTGCAGAAGCTTTTTAGTTTAATGTAATCCTATTTGTCTATTTTTGCTTTTGTGGTCTGTGTTTTTGGGTTCACATCTTTAAAAATAATTTCCCAAATCAGTGTCATGGAGGATTTACCCTGTGTTTTCTTCTAGTATGAAAGAAGCTTCATTCTAAGACAAAATCTCTCACTGAGAGACAATTTGGAGTAAATTCCAAATTGATCACAGGACAGAAAAGGTAGTGACAAAGGAAAAAGAAAGATTAGATTAAAGACGGTAGAGAACCAGAGGAGGTAGCACTAGTCCATATATATTTTTATCACTGAGAAAACAGCCGAAGAGAGACTTAGAGAACTATGAAGTTAGGAAAAAGGTAAATCATGTTCCATCTCTTCTCTCTAAAGTATAAGCACATTCAACTCACTTAAAAGAAGAACAACAGAAAAGATGCACCCTCAAATTTCATGCAAAGTCTTTAAACAGAGAGCGAGGAAGAATCAGAGGGAGTATAACGTCTCTGCAGATAATGAAACCCACCAGAAAGACATGCCCACAGAGCGGATGTAAACTGACCCATCATTTCAAAACCAGCCAAAAGAAATTAAGAGAAGATAGATCCTTAAAAAAAACAAAAACAAAAACAAAAACAAAAACAGCATAAGCCAGAATCAAGGATGAGGTGATTGAGGAAAAGGAAGATTTGACAAGAGCTGTAAGAGAACTCAGGAAAGTACTGGAAATAAAAGAACAAAAATAATTTCAAAATAAAGACTGAATTAAAAGGAACACAAGAGCAAATAAACATAGTGAGCGATGTTTTAAGAGAAATCAAAGATGAGAAGGAAAAATGTCTTAAAAATCAAAAAAGATATTCCAAATGTGACATTTGGGAAAAGACAAAACTATGGCGAAAGTAAAAAAAAAAAAGAAAGAAAAAAAAAAACCCAAAAAAACGAGTGGTTGCCAGGGGTTGGGGAGATAGAAGGATAAACAGGTGGAGAGCAGAGAGTTTTAGGGCACTGAAAATACTCTGTATGGCAATGTAATGGTAAATACATGTTGTTATGCCTTTGTCAAAACCCACAGAATGTACACCACCAAGAGTGAACACCAATGTAAACTATGGACTTCACGAGAAAATGGGTCAATGTAGGTTCGTCTCCACAGCAAATGCACCTTTAGTAGCACTACCAAAAATATGGAGTATGTTGCAGGTATATGGGAATTTTGCCGTGAACCTAAAACTGCTCTTAAAATGCTTTTTTAAAATAAAAAACAAATGGAAAAGATAAAAAGAATTTGAGAGAAAAGTGATGGAGAATAAACAACAAAGATCTAACATGTTAATAAGAATCCCAAACAAGTACCGAAGCACAGGAACAGAGCCAGACACTAAAACTTATCATGTAAGAAAAGTTCCTGAAATAAAAACTAGCTTGAACTAGATATGGAAGAAACATTCTGCATTCTGGGAAAACTGAGCCAGGAAACGGGCACTGAGACATATTAGAGTAAAACTTATAGACTCCAAAAGAAAAGAAAAAATGTTTTTGACATTCAGACAAAAAAACAAAGTCACTTACAAGGGGATAATATCAGAGTGCCTTCAGACTTTTATAAAATAGCACTTCATGCTAGAAGACAATGAAACAACACGTAGGATATTCAAAGACAAAAAGTATGAGCCACAGATTTTATGTCCAATCAAACTGGCCTTGAGGAAGAAAGGCTGCAGATAAACAGTTACAAACATACAAAAACTCAGGAGTATTGCTTTCATGAGCCCTTCCTGAGCAATCCACAAGAAAAGAACCTCAGAAGACCAAAAAGACTGGGAAAATATTGACATAAGGCCAAGTACTCTGCTCACTGAAAAAGCTCAGAACAATAACTCAGTAGCAATGAGTACCCACAGCACCCAGGTTGTAGTCTCTAAACACAATTTCACATTTAAAGGAACCAAGATGAACCCAAAATATTTTGTTTTGCCGGAAAGCGAGGGAATTATCAAAGACTACTGAGATGATGTCAGTAGAATACAGAATCCACTTTGAATGCACCTCCACTGGCCAAAGATGGGAGAATTTGAGAATCACAAAGAAAAACAACTGCAACTGCATGTACTAAGTCAAATATATTTTTCATGGTCACCATTGCAACTTGTTCCAAAAATTGTCAAAGAGAAAGAATCAAGCAGTTATGGCTGACTTTCCTATAGAAAAACTGTATTTCAGAGTAACCTAAACAATTGAAGAAGAAAAGTTATTTTTCTTTTCTTCTGTAGAGTCAGGATCTCACTATGTTGCCCAGGCTGGTCTTGAACTTCTAGGATCAAGCAGTACTCCCACCTCTGCCTCCCAAAGTGCTGGGATTATAGGCATGAGCCACCATGCCCAGCTGGAAAGTTCTTCTTTATAGAATAATTCCAACTAAAAAAAAATTATCTCATAGAATATTGGATCTAGGCAATCATATAAAATGGATGTTAAAACCACTAGTTGCGAAGTTGATGGGGGTAGGGGGGTAGAGCTAGACAGCCAAATAGAAGCCACCAGTGATTGTTCCCCCACCACACACACAAGAATGCAAAATTGAACAACTATCCACACACAAAAGCACCTTCATCAGAACCAAAAATCAAATAAGCAATCACAGTACTGGTTTTAACATCGTATTAAGGAAGGGTACAGTGAAGAGGGTAGGAAAGACAGTCTTGAGTTGCCCACACCACTCCTCCCCTATCCCTCAGCAGCAGCTGCATGGCAAGAAGAGAGAATCTGTGTGCTTGTCGA